CGACTCATCATAGCTCTGCAATTCATCATGGAGCCATGACCCCAGTACAGCTGTGTCATGACCTTTCCCACATCCACCGGGGTAGTGCTTCAGCTTCAGCCTTCAGGGTTATGTGAATGCCACCAGCAACAATTCACAGCTTCAGGATTTAGGGCTTACGGCCAGGGCTTAGGGATATATACCGAAACCATATTACCATTAACATGTATATGTCTGGTTGCAAGCAAAAGACTCCTTGGTCTTGAATGTTTTTTTCGTAAATTCCGTCAAACTTGTTGTCTTGCCATGTTCAAGACACCACTGCTTGAACCGGATGAAGCCATTGTTGAGCCCCCTTTGCACACCAGAGTGGCCCCAGCACTTCATATGTGCCATCAGAACGCATGCTGAAGCAACCAGACTGGTGCCCCAACCATTGATAGCGTAAACATGAGCGGGGTCAGGCTGAATAAAGCGTGCAGTGTCACAGCTGGGTAAATCACGTAGTGGGGACCGTCTTTCTTTCCAGGCTTCGCTGACCACATCATCCCGTTTCAAACTTCGTGTTGTGCTTCGGGGCCCCATGTCGAACCAATCCTCTAGCAGCTACAACGGCCCAAGCACTATAGCTGTTATCGTTAGAATTAAATACATCTAGTACATGAAAATCCAAAACCTCACCAGATCCAACAACAACTAGATGGCTATATATAAACTAGATCCCACCTGTCCCTCGCACAGGTGGCATTTTCGCCTGCAGTTGTAGCCTGCAGACAAGTGCATCCCCAGCCGTAAAAACGGCCAGTCGCCTTTAATCATGACTGGGACCAGCCGGAAGCAAAGTTGTTTTCCAGCATGAGTGACCTTATCGAGCCATGGACCCCAGCACACACATATACATGCATGCATGCATGCTGTGTTCATAGCCATACTCCACGGTGAAACAAATTTGAGTCAAGTGTCTGAAATCCCATCAAAATATGCAGACCTCATATCAGCCACCAGCGCCTCGTGGAGCTTGTCGATGGTTGTCGAGGCATACATCTGCGCCGGGATGACTGTGAACAGCAGTCGCGATGTGAAGGAGTGCCTCGATTGGATGGCATTGGAGGGATTCGGACACAGTAATAATTCCAAAACATTTCAGACTCGAGGCCAGATTATCGAACTAGTCCAATAAATGTTGCTCGGTTGAAGACGTGGGGCCCACTCATGTTGGTGTACTTTGGGCCCTTGTAAGACATTATCGGTTGTATCGACAATATCATGATAGCTCGACGAAGCTTCCCACGGCCTTCATCACCGTGATATGCTATCGGTATGCAAGTTGATAGATCAAAGCTGCTTTGCTGGTAGAGGTCCAAGTCGGGCCTAAAGTGCTGAAACCTGCTCCAGAATGTTCTAAATGTGTCTCGCCATTCTTTCTCTTGCTCGATGCAGGACCCCGCCAAAAGTAGTTTGCCACCGTCAGACAAAATCTGACGAGCCCAGGAGGTAGGAAATAAAACCGGAAAGTTGACCTTTGTCCTTCGACGCTGCCCAGGAATCTTAACAGGGGTCAGTACTTCGGAAACTCTGACCGGTAGTGTACGGCCAGTGCGGTGTATGAGCCGATGCAGGGCACGGCATTCGTGTTTGTGCTGCCTTCCACATTTGGCAAGCTCCCTCAGCTCGGGATCATCAATACCTGCAGGATGAGCGAATGAATCCCCTGAAGCCCTGGATCCAAGAATATTGCAAAACACGTCACACATGGTACGAGTACGGACCCCTTAAGCAGATCCCCAAAAATTGCTAGTGTGGTAGCATGCAGCCATACCTTCGAAGCTTTGTGTCGGCCACACAAGCCAAGCGCGCAACACGTCTAGCAGAATCAGCCTCAATGGTTCGGTCAGATCAAACTAGCAGGCCTCAAAGGCACCCTTATAGATGTAGTTATGATCGACATAATGTATAGATCCCAGGCCGACATTTATGAAAATCATTGATCTAAACATTACCCCCAGTCAACAGCCAAGTCTCTCCTGAAGCAAAGCCCTGAAACAGCTCTTCAGCAAGGTCATCGTCGAAGTCGGAGACATCGCCGTCGTCCGCACCTGGAGGAGCGAGCCGGGTTTGGGTAAAGATCGAGGGTCGAGGGTTTAGGAGCCTACAGGGTGTTGGATCAGAAGATATTCGATTAGCTAAGAAACTGCCATCGCCATCAAGCCGTTGATTTCCACGTAAGTAACCTGCGTTGCGGGAATGGCAGGGCTAGAGAGGCATGTATCACAACACGGAGCACTATAATACTTGGGGTGCAGCACACTGTCACACAGATTGGATTCGTGCACACTAGCGCATACTCCTTTTCTCTGGGGCTCCGCTGCCTCTTCCCCGGGCAGGTTCGCACGTGGCATGTTTGTAGAAGATCGAGGATCACAGCACATATGTGCGGATGAGTTAACTAGCAGCACGGTCATCTTAAGTGACCAGCCAGATCGATGCTTGCACAGCAACAATGCACGAAAGCTTGCGGGCAGCATGGCTAGTGATCACTAGTGGTGCACTTTGTGCACAGTAGAAACAACAATTCTTCGATTCACTGCATTGCTGCGAGGCAAGGGAAACACAACTTCTAGAAGGTGCAACTCCTAGGCTTCGGTCTTGGACTTCTTAGTCTTGGATCCGACTTTGGAGTCAGACTTGGGGTTGACTTTGGAGTCAGACTTGGGGTTCTCCTTCTTACCCCTCTTCTCCTTTTTGGACTTTTTGTCCTTCTTGGCCTTGCTCGCTGCAGGAGCCTTGCCGCCCTTGCCCGGCTTCACCGACTTCACCATCGGCCTGTCAGAGACGTGGTCTCTTGGGGTCTTGGAATGCAGGGTCCAGAAGAGTCTAGAGTTTAAATTAGTATCGGGAGTCGGGCCTTATATGCACTATATATTGTCGAGAGGGAAGGAGAGAGCTGAGAGAGCTAGAGATATTGGGCTTCAAGAGAGAGAGAGAGAGAGAGA